CAACAAAGATCTGGAGACTGTAGCTTTAGGAAACATGTCCCAAGAACTCCACAAACATCCAGAGAACATTTTGGGAATGCTCCTCGACTGTCCTGCAAACATCAAAACTCTAGGACATGTTATCAGAGAACACTACCTGGACTTTATTTCTTTCCACGTCAAGACATCAAGAAAATTTTCCAAAATAAAAGTCTTGTTTTTTTCCTCTGTATATGACAACTTTTTATTCAATGTATTCAGTTTGAGGATTTACATTTAAGCCTGTATAACTTTTTAACAAGCTGTCCGATCAGGATTAAAACTACTAGAGACTGCGTATACTCTGATATCTGGGTCTGATGAAATTTTATTAAATCAGAATCAGCTCTTGGAGGATGTGCGTGTTCCTGTCGCTTCCTGCACAGACTGAAAGCTGCTGGAAACTCAGACTTTAGTGCAGCTGTTTGGCTTCAACACCTGCTGCTGATGCTCTTTTTCCAAAACCACAGTTCATCTCCCATCAGCCCTTTATCTGTCCGCTGTCACATCAGAAAGTGGCACTCCAGTCAGCCACAATATCTTGTCAAGGTTATCGACCCGGTAACTGTTCAGTGCAGGTCAGCTGGTTATTTAGTGGCTCTCATTCACCAGAAGCATCTTCACCACTGACACCAAAGTTGAACTTGACACTAAAGATTCAGTACTTAAGTCGCCCAGAGAGCAAATCCACTTACCTATTAATAGTTTTCTCATACAAATCAAGCTACCAACTTAGAAGCTACAAAATATGAAAGTAGAATATAAATTCTGCTACTGATGTCTGGAAATTTAAAATAAAATTATCTTTCAGTCACTCACCCTCACCACCACTGTTGTGGACTGTAGATTTATTTAAACTTAGTGCATCATATTTACATTAAAAGGCCATTTTAAGGCATTTAAAAACCTCTGTCACTATCAAAACATGATTTATTATCATAGCAACAACCTGTACATGTTAATAAAATGTTTAGCTGAATAAAAAATGGGTTTAGTTTTTTTTTATATTTCCAGCAGATAAATAAATCAAGTAATTTATGCTTGTCCTCATCAGTTTCATTGACTACAGTTCTGTAATGTTTATATTTGCTCTTATAAAGCGATTTAAATTCAGAAGGAAATACTGTGTTGGGCCCAAAACAGCTGCTGCAGAA